TGAAATATTATATTTTTATTCATAAAAGTGTGGGTTTTAGCTTCACAGGAAGAAGGAAGCCCAACTATTATAGCTAGAGTGCTTTAACAAATATTAGATGACAAGGCAGGGTGGTTCTATATTAGCTTCAGGACCTGTGGCTGATAACATCTTCAGGTCTTGGTATATAGCTCAGTTGAAACAATGCTTGCCTATTGTTTACAAAGCCTTGAGTTCTGTCCCCAGAACCACCTGCTTGTAAATCCTGCAATTGTGAAGTGCTACAAGGATCAGAAGTTCAAGGTCAACCTCAGCCTTATAGTGAATGGAATACATGGAATACATGTCAGCATGGAATACATTAGGCACTGTCTCAAAAAACAAAACAAAACAGAACAGAACTTCCCAAATCTTCAAAGAGTGCTAAACCATATCATGAGTCTCTTGCCTTTTATAACCATCCTTGTCTCTTGCTGTTGTAGTTGTAAGTGCTGGGAACAATGAGATAGAATGGAGGAAACTTTAACTGTATAATGAATTTATCTCTTCAGCAGGATAAATACAGATGTGCTTTGGAAAGAACAGGTAGTTAATCCCTCCTCCTCAATCACTTACTCCCTTTAAAAAGTAAAATTGTGAATTTGATGTTAAAAATTTGATTCACACCAGGTGATATGCATATCCATTATTATAAAATTCTCATTTTACTGAAAACTAGCATTTAGACCTATCATCATTTTGTTTGGAATGTCACAACACGCCCCAGTGGCAGAGTGCAGAATACCTGATGATTCACAGGAGATCTAGAGCTTGATGACTGGGTGTGAGTAAAAAAGGCAGTGAACATGCTCAAAGAGTGAAAGGTGTGAAATTGCAACATTGGAAAGTGAGCCATGGTGGACAGACCATAGAAAAATCCTGTAACCCTTGCCATTATGTATCAGAATCAGGACAGTCCAGTTTCTTACTCCCCACCAATAAGAAGATGACAAATATGCACCATGTCTCCCATACTTGTGCTAAATAAGAGACTGGCTTTCACAAACATGATATGTACTCACTTATATGTGGATTTTAGACATAGAGTAAAGGATTACAATCCTTTACAGCCTACAATCCACACAGGCAGAGAAACTAGTATACAAGGAGGACCCTAAAAGAGACAAACATTGTCCCCTGGAGAAGGGGAAAGGGTCACCATCCCCTGAGCAAATTGAGAGCATGGGAAGAGGGGGGAGGGAGCTCCGAGAATGAGAAGGGAAGAAGAGGAAGGATACAGAGGTCCTGAGGGAGCAGAAAGGTTGAGTCAGGTGAAGAATAGAAGAAAGGCTATGTGATAGGTGGGATTTAGTTGGGGGGTGGTAGGGGAGGATGGAAGGGAGAAGGGAAGTGGGATTGTCATGTAAATCAATCTTGTTTCTAATTCAAATAAATAATGATGAAAAAAAAAAAAAAAAAAAAAGGAGAAAGGGAGAAAAAGAGAGAGAGAGAGAGAGAGAGAGAGAGAGAGAGAGAGAGAGAGAGAGACTGGCTTTCACCTTTGCTTTCCCGACCATTCTGTGGTGGCTTTGAGGGTTGTGCCCATCCAAACTATGAGGTTGTGCCCATCCAAATGAGGCTCATGCTTAGGGGCCTTTGCACAACTGAATGGTGGCAACCAGTATGCAAACTTGGAAGCATATGAGTTGTCAGCCATGGCTGGTCCCTTCATTAGAAGGTGCAGTTAATTCAAGAAACTGATTCTTGGTATATATGGTGTTCTGATTCTACATGTGTGATGTTTGACACACAGCAAGAGAAGGCTAGCACATGGGTTTGGGAGTTTCCTTGGGTCATCATAACAAAGTCCACAGACTGAATTTATTTCTTCACACATTCTGCAAGTTGGATGTCTACAACCAAGCTGTCAGAGACCTGTTTTTCCTGCGATCTTTCTCCTTGCCATATAGATAGCAACCTTATCCCTTTCCACACTGTTTTTTTTTTCTTGCACACATGTGTGTCAATGTTCTGGTTTCTTCTTTTTTCACAGATACCAGCCGTATTGAATTAGAGCACACACCACTGATCTTGTTTTAACTACCTTCTAAAAAGTTCCATCCACAGCTATAGTTACATTTGCGGGTCAGGGGGTTTAGGACTTCAGTATATAAAATGTGTAAGGCAGCAGCTCTGCCAGTAAGAGTTGGCTTTGTAAAAATCAGTGAAACAGGTACGGTGGCGCATGCCTGTCATCCCAGTGTTCAGGGGGTAGAAGCAGGAGAAATTTTGGAAGTTCGTGTTCATCTAGAAGTTCACAATCATTCTGTTCTACAGTGAAACTTTCAGGCCAACCATAGAAATAAAAACCAAAAAAATAAAAACTAAGTGAAATAAATCTGTAATTATTTTTAGCTCTATACCTAAAAAAATGTAAAGATTAATGTCTGTAAAGATCTTTTGCTACCTTTTTACCCCTTTATTTAGGCATATATATAATTACATATATGTCATGTTTTATATTTGTATATGTCACATAGTTAGCATATATTTGCATATTCTTATCTCTATGAGGAAGTTATAAATCTTGTAAGCATATGTCTTCCATATGCTTCCACATAAAAGAATTTACTCATTTAAGATAATTGTAATACGTACATTTCCAAAATTCTGTGTAACATTTTGTGTTTACTTGTATGTTTTTAAATAATAATACTTACAAATAGTTAAAAATTAGGAGTTGTTCAAGGCACCACGGCTTGAAGAGTTTCCACTGAAAGATACACTACTTTAGGAAGTGTGGACTGCTGTTTGTCAGTCCAGAGACATGGCGTCAGGGCCTCTCCATGCAATGTGCCTAATTCATGAAAACAGCGCATTTCTCACAGTATGCATGTGCATGCACACAGAGACACACATATATGTACACAACTCATTTTCCAAAACTCTAGATGAAACTTTCTATATGCAACAGCAGTTGGCAGTTCTCAAAATATGGATCTGGGAAAATTCTGGACTTCTTCAGTGGATCTGTAAGGTCAAATGTATTTTTAAATAAAACTAAGAGCTTATTTGCCTTTTGCAAACCAGACTTTAACTCTGTGTGTGTGTGTGTGTGTGTGTGTGTGTGTGTGTGTGTGTGTTGACATGTGATGTGTCATGAATGCAAAAGAAATGGCCAGTAGCATTGTTGGAATTTGCATGTCTCAGGGAAGTGGTGCTAAACCATAGTACCAATCCTGGTATTTTGAACACCATTGTCCCATTAGGGGAAATAGAAGAAGGGTCAATTTCATTTAATATTGTCTGTGATGAAGAAATCAAAGTATCATAGCTGTTAAGCTTTAACTGTTCTGATGCATCATTGTAACACCTTGCATGATTGTTGAGCTGTATGAGGGAGCACCTTTGCTCTCTCCCCACAAGTGGTGTTTGCTCAGGCAAAGAACCTGTGTGGTGACCTGTGTGGGTGCTTTACCAGCTGTTCCTTAACCAGCATTATTGTTACTGGAAAACAAATTGAAAAGCTAGCTGTGCTCATTCAGACTTGTGTGGACACACATGAACAGTGAACCTCTCATTTCAGGGAAGCAACTGCAGCAGGCAATATTTATTGCTAATATTATAAGCTTTCAAGAAAAACTATTAGAATTTAGGGGAAATTGTACCTACCCATGAGAGTTGACTGATACCCCAAGCTAAAGGTTGTTCTAATGAGATTGGTGGTGATATTAGCAGATTTTACTTTTATAAAGGTCTACAATGAAATGTGCCAGCATTAGGAAAGACTAGATCATTTACCGGACCACTATTTTCCAATAACAACAAATGGTATCATGTGATAAAACTGTGTATTTCAAAGTGTCAAAAAACAAATCCCAACAGATTTTAATATACTAGAGTAAAGTTTAATTTTATTAGATAATATATCATGTTGAAAGTCTATTTGATTTAAACATTAACATTTATAACCTCATTTGATAGGGCTCATAAATTTAATTTGCAAGGTTTCAAATTTCACATGGCACTAACTTAAAACAAAACAAAACAAAACAAACAAACAAACAAACAAAAACTACTGCATGTTGAGTTTGGGTGTAACATTAAAGAACAGTATCCATAGTTACCTGAAAAGCCCATTAAATTTTGCTCTGTCTATGCTTGTAAAGTCAGATGTTGTTCATATACTAAAACACTAACCAAATGGCAGGACAGACTGAATACCAAAACTAGTGTGATGGTGTGATCTGCATTTGCTGCACAGGAATCAACGGGACTCACAGAAATGTAAATTGGATTCTCTCTTTTCATTATCATTTTATTTACCAGAGGAAATGGAGTGTATTTGCCATGAAAAATATAGGAAGCAACCAGAGGAAGGTGGAGCTGAGAAACAGATGTGGGTTGTTGCAAGTGTGACTGACAGAGGAACAGCACCCACATAGGGATTTCACCAAGCAACCTCTTTGCTCCCAGGGGTGAACTCTAGTGTCCTCATCAGCACTAGTGGCATTTGGATTCCTGTTTCCAGATATGCATCCTGTACGAATTTGCTTATATTGAGTGATTTCAGGTGTAACAAATGCTTGTAATCCCAGCACACTCGAGGCTGAGGTAAGAGAATCATGTACTTTAAGTCAGTCTGGAGTATACAGAGTGAGAAGCTGTCTCATAAAATCAACCAATCCCAAACTCCCCCAGATAAAAATAAGTGTTAAACAAAATGCAAAGAGAGAAGTGTTATTGTAGACAGAAGTGTTATTGTTACGTGCCAGCCCCACTCTGTCCAACATTCCAAGTGTGAATTCTGATGTGTTGTGTAACTTAATAGAACACTTAGATAATACAAACTACAGAACACTAGGTTGCTGCATTAGGTACTTTTCACCTAAATGCAACTTCAAATGATCACTGTTTTCTAAAGAAAACAAAAGATAAATAGGAACAAAAAGCTTAATGGCATCTGTAGGCTGCCTATTATGACTATTATGACTATTTTTGGCCTTCTTGTAATTTACTTTTTCTCTATCATTTTTCAACAGATCACCAGAAACTGGAAAGGGAAGCTAGAATCTGCCGTCTTCTGAAGCACCCCAATATTGGTGAGGAAATGATATATGTTATGTACCATATGAAACTACAGTATAAATGTTAATTTCAGTAATCAGAATATTTACAATTACTAAAAAGTAGATTCTAATTGCTTGATCCTGGTTACATTTGTTGCAAGTGTGACTGACAGAGGAACAGCACCCACATAGGGATTTCACCAAGCAACCTCTTTGCTCCCAGGGGTGAACTCTAGTGTCCTCATCAGCACTAGTGGCATTTGGATTCCTGTTTCCAGATATGCATCCTGTAGGAATTTGGTTTTATAAATATGCTTTATTGAGTCATCCTTTTTTGATACAATTTGTGTGAAAAAATTTTAAAAATATTTCAATGAATTAGCTTTACCTTCTTTCATAGCAATGAATATAGCAGTGAAATAAAGATTGGATATTTCCAGTTGTCTCGAACATTGATTCCACATCAGCCAATGAGCATGCTGAAAATGATTTGGAATTAAGTGACATCTGACTATGTTTTATTCACCTTATTTTAACATGTTTTGGAGTCTATGTTAGCTCACAGTTTCCCTCTGGACACCCCTGAAATAAAAATGATGACTTTTTACCCAGTTAGGAAAAGAATTGCAAAATCAGGCATAACTTGTTAAAATTTGTAGCTATATTTTTTCAAGAAGTAGCAAGTCTATATAGACAAACTGGAAAAGCACAAACAAAAACCACATATGTATATTCATATAAAACTGTTAAAGAGTTAAAAATTAGGGGGAAAAACACAACCAACATATGGTACTATTTGGAATCTTAGTTTGTGTGTGAATGATAGTAAGAAATTTTCAGCTTTGCTGGTAATGGGTGGAGAGATGAACTAGGCCATTAACAGCTTGGTTGCTTTTCACTTACTCTGCCCCACTGAGAGATTCCAATTCAGAGAAATGGTCAACCATATCATTCTGAATGGAGAATTTGAGTAAAGACTCCACTTGAGATGACTCCAGAAGGAGCTAGTCATGTGACCTGCTGGAGCTAAATGATAGTCTATTAACAGACAGAGTAAACAGCTCCAGGCAGGACCCCAAGGCAGAACCTTATCAAGTGAATTCTACCAACACTTGTTTTCTAATTGGAGGAAATAGGAGGGATTGAGTTTCTTGCTTTATCTTAACTGTTTTAATTGCTGGGTCCCTAAATTGCCTAATCTAACTCTCTTTGTATTTACTTATGTATTTAAGAATAGTGATTTAGAAACAGCACTAACAGCTATCCCAGGGGAGTAATCAGCTGCCAACAAGTGAGGGATGTTTTAACCTGCAAGAGGCATCCTGGTTGAGCAGGCCTTTAAATCCCAGCACCCAGGAGTCAGAGGCAGGTGAATTGCTCTGAGTTCTAGGCCAAACAAGGCTGCATAGTGAGACCTTGATTCAAAAAGACAAATAAGTAAATAAGTATAAAAGAGAACCTGAGCTACCTGGAGAAAACAGTAGGGCAGTGCTGTCTAGGGGAGCTTCCTGTAGCTGGTTTTCACTGTTGCCCTAGACTGCACAGGGAGCCCTGGAGGGGCTTGGGTGGCCCAGCCGCTGACATTCTTAACCTCTATTTTATTACTTGCTTTTTTTTTTTCACTCCCTTGCTTATTCTAGAATTTAAAAATCTATTACATTATAAAACTTCAAGAAAACAGACACTATCTTTTGACAGTTACTCCCCTGTGAATTTTTTCTTTTTTTCATTTCTTTTCCTCGGTTTTTTCTTCTTAGACAGGGTTTCATTGCATGGTATGAAACTCACTATGTAACCAGACTGGCCTGGAAGTTACAGAGATCCACCTCCTATTGCCTCTCAGTTTTAGGATTAAAGGTATATACCAGCAAGTCTTGAGAGAACTTACAGTAAATAAAAGTGTATCATTTTTTTTCCCTAAAGACAAACATTTTAAAGGACCCCAAAATGACAATTTATTAAACAACTTTTCTTCAGTGCTTTTTAAAACAGGTTTTTCTGACTGTAAATCTAATATGTACACTTAGAAATAATTTCTGGAAAAATATAATGATGGTTAAATGAGAAACCAGAGGAGACAGTGTGTAATGTTTGTTTTATGTTTCTGACTTTTTATGATGAACCTTATGCATGACTAACTTTCAGCATTCTTCAGTGTACATTTTCTTACCATGTTACTACACATTTTGTAAGAAGTTTCCCATTCAACATAGTGTCTTGAGAATAGAGCGCTAGGCTAGCAGTGAGCTGCACTGTCACAAAGGCAGGAAAGCAGTAGTCAAAAGAGACGTCTCTGCCTCCCAGCCTTGCATGTGTGTAAAAAAGCCAACCTCCAGCTAATGGCATAGAGAGTCCTTATGCTTGTAATTGATGTAGGGTAATTGGGTATATGGAGACTGAGTGGCTCCTGAAAAAAAAAAAGAAAGAAAGAAAGAAAAGAAAAGAAAAGAAAAGAAAAGAAAAGAAAAAACTGTCAGATGCTATTTAGAGATGAAGACAGATTTCACCCCCAACTACTGCACTATGGGAAAGATGTGAGCCACACTGTCAGTTGCATACTAACAGGCAGCATGACTGACAGGATTCTTTAATCACAGACTGTCCTAGGAAGGTCACAAGCAGGGTCCAAGGCAAGGCCTGTCTGAAAAGAAGAACTTGTCTAGGATTTGATCAAGGAGAGTGTGTTTGTCACTGCCTTAAAGTGACTTGTCCTGTAAAATATGACTGTGGAGGTAACATTTAAACTACCATGTAAACAACTGTGGAAGATTCATGAGCACACCCAGAAAAAGAACAGTTCAGGATGGAGTGACCATCCCTTGTCAGGAAGAGTGAAGGAAGCAGGCAGAGAGGAAGATATAACTGAGTAGGCTGCATGAGTTCCAGTCCCAAAGGGCTGCATATGCTGGGTTGGAGAGCTTGGCTCTCCTAAGTGCAATGGGAGGGCAGTAAGACAGTAGGAGGATTTTAATCTGATTGGCTTTGCCTTCTATGTGCAAGGCAGATTATAGCCCAGTGCAGTCCATGTGATATGTGACACAATTATTAGCATTCCAATAATAGATCACAGATTATGTGGTATAAATTCAACTTTTTCTTTGAATAATCTAGGGAATATCATTTTAATCTCTGACAATGATCCAGAGCCATAATTCTTAAGTGACGCTGAATTCTCTATGCCCTAATCCTTTAATTGCCTTTATAAAGAGCACTGGTGTTTAGAGATGCTAAGATGATGATAACAGAGATGTAGGCAGTTTTGTTCTGTTTTTAAACAACAAAATTGAGGTTGTTTGGTTCACATAAAGTTCCTCTGATATATAGAACAGGCATTAAATGATAAAGTTTAATTACTGGTCAGGCATGGCGAAGCACACCTGTAACCCCAGTGTTTGGAAGATGTTCAAGTCCATCTTTAGCTGTATAGTGCATAGTGCCCTCCTGGGATACATGACACACTGTCTCAGTAACATAAAAGTAAAACAGGTCAAATAATAAAAATAATCTTAATATGGAGCTGTTTCAGAACATGTTCTGTCTGCACGGGTTTTGTTGTGTGACATGTGGAACAGCACACAAAATTCCATTTGCAGACAAGTGTTGACTTCACATAGAGACGCTCTGCTTCCTACAAAGAGGTTTTTACAGGCCTCTGATTGCTAAGTGCATTTAGTATCTACTTAATTTTATTTTCCTGAACTATTTGCCTCAAAGTTTCCTTAGGAATGATCTAAGCCTACTTTGATTCTGTGGGTAGAGACTGAAGGTTCCAGAGCAAATCCTATGCAAAGGCAGCACAGAGCTCTCAAGGCTTGCTGTTGTCTCCTCCCTCCCCTGCCTCTCTGCTCGTGAGGGCTACCCAGCACACTGATACAGTGACCACCATCCTGGACCTTCCTGGTCTTTGCAACATACCACCCCTCAAATTCCCACAAGACAGTATTAGCAATGATATTTTCTGTGAGTCTTTTTCTGTTTTAGCAGATCACATCATCCAACTTGTAAATTCCATTTTTTTTCCATTCTATTCTGCCAACACTTATTTTCCAGAATCCTCAGGTCCTGTAGAGAAGCAGTGCTGACAGGCACCAAGACTGTCAAACCTAAATATGCTGTCATTACTCAACAAATGAATAAATAACCATCACTGTGGTATTTCTAGGTTTGAACCCTTTAGAAGAAGGCAACACAGAAAAGGCAATCTGAGTTGAGTAAATACTGATTAGTCTCTAAGAAAACAAATAAAAATGATGAAACCCCAGTGATCATATGACAAATTACTGAAATTCTTTTTTGGTGGTGGTGGGGGTAATGGAAATTCAGCATCCCCGGGTTTTTTTTATATGAATTCTTACTTTATTTTTCATTATTCCTATATTCACAACACTTTATTTACACAGAGGGAATAATTTTTATTGCTGAGCTACTTTCTCTAGTGACTTTCTAACCGGGAAAAGAAAGTCACATATTATTTGGTGTAGAATGCAGTGTTCTTGTTTTATGGTTAACTTTTATTTGATTAAATCTCATCTCGTTATCTTGATTATTTGGTGTGAAAGTCAAATTTCCTATCAGATATTACTGTCAGAAGAATTTTTTGTCTTTTCCAATAAACGTGATAAACAGCAGAAAGAAATTTCTCCTTAAATAAATGTTTTCAAAATTCATTTTTATCTGCACTCTTTCTTTGCCCTTCCTGCCTGGCTCCCAATCTCATCATCTTTTTCCCTTCTTCCTTCCTACCCTCCCTCACGTCCTGTCTTCCTCCCTTTCTTCTTTTTCCTTTCTTTATTTCTCTCCCCTTAGTTTCTTCCTTCCACTTTTATTCTCTCCTCTCTCCCACTCTTCCTTGTTCATATAGTGTTGTGCCAGCATTATATCCTTTATAATACTTGATTGAAAATGAAATTCATCATTTTTATGTAGACAATTTAGTAGAAAGGCAATCTGAGTAAAAAGATATATATTCAATTTGATAATTTAAAATCTTTTCATTGGTAATCACATTAATCTTAATGTGAAGTTACTTGTTT